ATGCCAATCTCTTCGACATGCTCGGAACGACATGTGTCTCGAAAAGATTTGGCACTCACGACTTGGCACCTAATGGAAGAGCGAGGAGGAGGAATAGTACACGGGACCTCGGCGCCAGTTGCATCACGAATCGTGAGCGTGCGTCGATGGAAATTGACCGTGTGGTCCGCGCTAGAAAGCCAAGGCATCCCCAAAATGACATCGAAGTCTGTGTCCAACACGTCAAAAGTGACCGGTTCACATGCGTGCGGTGCAAAGTACACCGGGACAACCGAGATGTAACGGTCTAAAAGTTGTTTCGTCTTACCGTCGGCAAGAGCGACCATTGCCGGATGTGACTTCCTCCGTACTTGTGCGCCAAGGCCAGCCCGAGTCATGAAGGACTGGCTGATGAAGTTGCGAGTTGCGCCGCAATCTAGCAAAGCGTTGCAGGCCGCTTGCCCAATCTGAATGCGAACGTAGAGCAACAGTGCGTTGTTTTCTTCGTACCGTTGCGAGACAAACTCGCGGGCCACCTTGGCAACGTAGCCAAGCATGTCCCCCACCGCGACTTCGTCTACCATCGGCGAAGTTGGTGGTGCATGGAAGGAAAGATACTGGTGTAAGAGGGCGCATAGGGCTGCGCTTTGCGGCCCCGGAAGGTTGCCAGTCGTAGGGAGAGGAATCCAAGCAAAGTCCTCGGGCGTGAGCGGGCCCAAAGCCTCCTCGTTGAACAAGCTTGCCGAATCCCTTGATGAAGACGAACTGGCAGAAGAACCTTCGGACGGTGAGAAAGCCGCACATGTATCTTGTCCTTGAGAAGCATCCAGTAAAGGAACGAGACGGGCAGTGAAGTCTTCGAACGAAAGTGGAAGACTCCCGACATCCGCATATGCCTCGGAAGAAAGGGCGGTCGTGCGCACAACCGCTTCCGATGGCGTCGAGGGAGGTGTCGAGTCACCCTCGGCGGCGCCTACTTTCCCTGACGGGGTTTCCCTTCGGTGGGGCAATGTGCAGCATCGTGGATGGTGCTGTTGCACCAAAGGCAGTAACGGTACTTGAGTCTCATGCGATAAGAATTCGCCGAGAGTCCGTATTGTGCCCAAGGTTCGTCGGCGGCTGATCCGGTGCTCGGTATAGAGGTGGACTGAGTCTTCGTCTTGTCGCGGCCRTGGTTGTTGCGCGGCCGGCCACCATCCCGGGCAGCTGCCAACACTTCACCATCGTTTGGTGTTGCAGCCTCGGTAGAAGTAATGCAAGCCACCTTTGGCTTGGGCTGGGTGCTGCTCGTCGTCGCGGAAGATCGGCCGGCGTTGCGGGCTTTGATATTTGTGAGAATGATCCGTGACGCTGTGCTGAAAAGCTTGTCGGATGTGTCGAGTGTCTCTGCAATCTGCGTCAGCGAGTTTTGCAGAGCTGGACACGAGCGCATGATAAACAAGTGCTTAATGGCGCAGAAAGCAAGCGGCAGGTCAGGTGTGGAGGCGAGTCTTTGGAAGTCGGTAATCCAGTCCTGACTGAGCAGCGTGTTCTGATGGAGCTTCTTGAGCTTGTCCATCGCTTGCAGGTCGGGCGGCTCCACTTGGAATCGCTTGTGCCAGACATCAGTCAACTCCTGCCAAGTGAGCTTGGTGTGCAGTTCCGACACTGCTACGCCGTGGCTGGTCAAGATGTTGTCCAACCATGCTTGACATGCACCACCAGATCGGTGGTACAAGCACGGATGTCGATCGTTGTTCGGGACATGGTGCATGTCGAGCCTGAGAGTAAACTGGCGCCACCACGGGATCGGTTCCGTCTTGGACTGATCGCAGAAAACT